TATTAATTTTCCAAATGGTTTTCCTAAATGATTCACCGATTAAAGTATATCTATACCTCTTTTTCGTAACTGCATAATAACATGCAGCAGCCAATCCCGATAGACATTCAGTTACACTTTTCCCAAAACTATTCTAGAAACGAGAACAAAAATTGAAGAAGTTTACTGAATTAATAATAACATATATATATGTGGGGTTTTTGCCTTGAAAATCACCTTCCGATATTTCCGATTGGGCTAATTCGGACAAAAACAAACTCGAGTACCGGTTCATGTTTATATGTTAATCATTACCTTTATTGATTCAATAACTATTGAATCAATAAAGGTAAAAGATGATTAACATATAAACATGAACGGTACTCGAATTTGTTTTTGTCCGAATTAGCCCAATCGGAAATATCGGAAGGTGATTCAAGGCAAAGACCCTATATATGCATTTTTTTTTTTTTTTTTTTACCTTTTCAACGAAGAGTGTAGTTATATCTATAATTGTCTTCAACATCGGCGTCGGATATGCATAGAACAAGGAAATTCGGTTCGCCAATTCATCTTCAATCATGGCCGTTTTCAAATCTGTCTAAAAGTTGTAACACGAAATAAGTAAAAAAAAAAAAAAAAAATTATAACAATATATAAAGACTCACTTCATTTGCATGTTTTCCTCTACTTAGTGTTCTTCTGTAATAGGAAAAATCATTTTGAATTGACGGTGTTTTCATCTAATTACATTTTACATATAAATTATTTCAAAATTAGCCATAAATGCTAAATATATATGTATATATTATTTTTATTCTTCAAGAAACCTTCAGATAGTCAAACTCAAAAGCAAAATCTAGTATATCAGCTAATAGCTTTGTGAGTGCTTGATGCTGTTCGATATTTTTCCTAACATTTCCTTCACAGAGTACTTTTAATAACTCGAATAGAGCATCACCTAATAACAATAATTTAATAATTAATAACCATTAACAGTACTTATTATAAATTATTATAGCTCTTACCTAAAGAGGTTGAATATTCAAAATATTTTTTTAATTTCGCAACTACAGGTTGAACGGCCTGCCAAGCTTCCTCTTCATTATCAGGTGTTGGGTTGGATATTGCTTTTCTTATTAGATCACCACATCCTTCATAACGCCGTAAAGAATCCAAAAGCGTTTCAGTGGGTTGGAGAAGAGTAGAAATATGTTCATGAAGAGTCAATTCTGCTTGTGTTGGTGTGGCATCTAAGATGTTAGAGTTTGTTGTTAATAATTGTTAAAAATTCAATTAAACACCGTGACATTAACAATAACTACTAGAAAGTAATTCATTCAAACAATAAGCTATCTAAGTAAACACGTAGGATCTAATTTAAAGCGTATGTTTTTTTTTTTGACTTTAATTATTAAATTGTTATTCGTCCTTTTATGATAAATACCAAAAACAGCCAAGTGTCAGTAACGTTTAACCACCGACCATTTTTATGAAAGCTTATCGTTTCAACAAACGCTAAACATTCTCCATTTAAACTATTACTTACTTTCAAAGTCGAGATTTAAATCTGGTACTGTTGTGTCACCACCCACTTTGCAGAAGATTGAAAGTATTCCTCCCATTTCGAAAAGTGTTTTAATAAGCGGATAAGGTGATGAATCAAGGTTCGGAGGGTTGGAATAGTTTCAGCCTAGTTTTGGCCGAAAATGCGGTAAAA